CTGTCTGTCTGTCTGTCTGTCTGTCTGTCTGTCTGTCTGTCTGTCTGTCTGTCTGTCTGTCTGTCTGTCTGTCTGTCTGTCTGTCTGTCTGTCTGTCTGTCTGTCTGTCTGTCTGTCTGTCTGTCTGTCTATCTATCTATCTATATATCTATCTATCATAAAAAGACTAATTGGAGTAAAACTTACTTAAAAGCGATTCATCTACAGCAAAACTGTCTGTCTATCTATCAATCTTTCAGTCTGCATGTCTGTCTGTCCATCTTTTTATCTTTTAGGCAAGGCTCTGTCAAGCCGACATTCTATGTTTGTCTTGATAAATTGTTACAAAAAATTTATATTTGGGCCATGAGATTTGGTTCATGTTTCTGAGTAAAATGAAAAGGAAATCAGTAGGACAATTGAGACTAGAAACAGACAAAAGTGCATCTTAAACAATAGCCACAGTCTCTGAAAATATTTGTTTTACACAAACATTGAGCTTTATGTATTATTGTACAAATGTAGGTCTCAGTTCTGAACATGTTTGCTTGTTTGGCCAGCTTTTCCTCCAGCCTGTTTCAGCTGAGAGGCTGAAAATGAGAGGAGTGAGAGGAAACCTCCTCAAGGCTTTCATTGTTGAGCTTAATCCTCTTCAGACGGACCCGGACAGAGAAAAAAGGCACATTTTCTAAAGCGTGCTCTGGTTCTATTCATCCACAGAGCTCTCTCTCATCCACAGCTCAATAGACCCACAGTGTCGCGTGTCTCACCCCGCGCGACCAACAACGCCTTTAGTTATGCTAAAGACCAACCTTTAGCCACTTTATTTAGCTGAGCGGTGGTGAGGACATAACTGGACTATGCAGTAGAGCTCATCACACGGAAATGAGATCAGTGAATGTTGATAGGATGATATATATAAGAAATCAACGGAAATCAAAGGTCATTCACACAGGAAGAAATGAGGTTAACATGGTGTCTTGATACAATTGCCAAAAGATACACCAAATAAGTATAGGCCAAGCACATTATTAATCATAATTTAGGTGTCATGTAAACCTCGTGTAGACATCACATGACAACTTATATCATTAAAAGCAATGTTAAAGAATCAATGGAGGTTTTGTTGTCTATTTGCCCTGTGTGTCTGTGACAGAAATATACAGAACATGCATGACAGGAACTAAATGAAAAGAAAATCAAAAATTTATTTGTTTTTACAATGGTTTTTACCGCAGGTTAGTCACAATGCTTCACATCATGCCAAAAATCACTGCTTATCTGTGGTAAAATCACTCTAAAACGCAGGATTTTTGCTGTATATTCGATTTAGTAAGGACGTATCAACACAACAGCAGCGCTATCAAAGTGTGACATAAACGCTGAACGGTAAACTTCACACACTTCAGAGGGAATGACGGGGTGACAGGGTGGCCGTGACTGTACAGCGCCGCTGATCCGAGCAGAAAGTCTGTTTCACGGCTGTGAATTATCCTCAGTCAGTGTGAAATATCTGTTGTGTTTGACAGCGTGTGGTGTCGTAGGAGGTATTGTGTTATGGATCTGACGGCCCATCAAGAGCGCTGACAGCACAAACCTCTCTATCCATTAGAAGCCTGACAGAGGCCGTGGCAGACCGCTTGATGGAGGAGAGAAAAGAGGGAAACGCGGATGTGAGGAAACTGAGTCAGCAGCGCACATCTGTTGCCAGAGCACCGGGGCGAGATAGGGTAACAACAACCAAGCACAGATGAAAATCACTGTCAAACTCGAGCGAAACATATTGGGCAAAATAAATGCACCTGTGATAGCTGCATCTGGTCCAAGCCTCTGTCTGAAAAATTAATGACAATTTGTAGAATTTTTCATACTGAAATAAATGTAATTTAATTAAGATAATTAAAAATCTAATTTAATTAATGATGTAACAAAAAATACAATTAATCATAAATAATCAAATAATCTTTGATGTTAATACCATAAGACAGCATATTTTGTGTGTTTAAGAAGCTTTACTATGAATTTATAAGTACAATAAATGTATGAATTAATAGATCATTCATTCCTGCTATGCAGTACGTTTCCATGCATCCACGGTAACGTTAACATTTTTTTTAAAAACTAAAAAACTAAATGTGTAATACATATTAGAAATATTCAAGTATTATTTGTTATTGTTTAGGTAAAGCAGATGTTTCCAAAGAAAACAAAATATTTTCTTGGGAATAGTGTCCCTCACTATCTTATTCCATCCTGTTTGTCTTTTGTAATATAACAAAAGACTCTTGCTTAATGACATCGCCATACAGGAAGTGACATCATATTGGAGGGAAACCAGCAGCACAAACATCAGTGAGTATTCAATGGATTTTGTCTTGTTTTATGGTATTAGTTTGTCTCATTTTAAAACATTGCATCCTGTTAGATAATATGACAGATTTCAGTTTGCTAATATCAAAATGTCAAAATAAGGTTAAAAATGTAACAATAAACTTTGCATTGGATGTGTTTGAAACCTGTTTGAAAGCAGTCATTATTTTTGCTGTTCTGATTTATAGCACTTGTGCTCCACCTGTTTATTTTGAGCCTGCTTTAATTTAACAGTTTTTGTACTAACATTCAATATTCAACAGTCTTTAGGCTTTAACTGATTTAAATTATTGACATCCCTTTTGAGGAAAAAGCAAACTTAAAAAGTCTTAAAGAGCCAAGGGAAGTGCCCAGACTCACTCAGTAGTTGTCTGCCAGGAATGTGACATCTAGTTATAGACTAACTTTATAGTTGTTCTGGGAACTTCCACTTTCCAGTAGATTTGATTGTACTTTTCTAATGAAATAGTAGTGATATGTGAATCATAAGCAACTCCCAAACAATTCCACAGAGTTCTGAGATCCACTGAAAACAAATGAATAACAATGACAATGATGTGAATAAAATGAGCTGTCATTGTATTGGTCTGTCATATCAGTCAGAGCACTTCTGTGTTGTTTTATGCAAAAGAGCATGATACCACAGACAGCTAGTATATGTAGGCAAGCATGTGTTTTGGGAATTGGCAAGTAGCCATCTGAAAGTCCCTAGATGACTACTAATGAATTGGGCTTTCAATGATTACTGCAGCTTGGGGGCTCCACCCTCAGCTTTCACACAAAGTTTTTGTGTCTGGTGGTAAAATTGCATGTTTAGGATTGCTATAAGACTATTTGATAATCATGAACTTGTTTGTCTACATTGAAGCCCATATATCTTCCGCCGATTTTCCTGTAGCTGTAACTAGCAATGGTCATAGATTTAATTTATATCGAATGATATGTATGCCTTAAATGCACTGTAAGTTGATTTTGATAGTTTTTACCAAATGAATAACTGCAAATGTTCCTCTGAGCGTTTTAAAGTTCAGAAGTGCACCGTTAGCCTTTGCTTGAGGGTTATGTCTTTTTTTATTTTTTTTTTATCTTTATTTGTAAAAATATGGGTAGCAGCCACTTCCATGATGTCAACAACCTGTTTCAGTTTATGTAAAAAGATCTAACATGCAGCACTGTTACTTTGCAGATTCTCCATTATTTTTCCAAAAAGAAAGAGCTGAAGTTGAATTTCTACCTCCGAATGGCTAGCTAATGAATAATCATCGGTTGGGGGCCAATTAAATGATCTTCAAAGGCATTTTGGGCAATGAACTCTGGTATTAGCTAGTGTGTGTTAGCATGCAGAGTCTTGGTGGATAAGTAATAAAACCCACTTAACTCTTCAATTATTTTCCATTACAGGGGAGCCACGGCAGTGTTTTGCCTGCTCAGTTTATTGGTAATGGAAGGCTTCATACTGGGGAGTGTTAATTGGTAGGTGTCAGAACTAGAGAGTTGCGGGTTATGTTTAGAGCATCTTCATTAGTGCATAGATCCTTAAGAGAAACCCGTCACTGCCTGCATGTACGAGCGTGTGCATTTTATCGTGCCACTTACATGGCGCTTTTTTCATGCTGTTCTCCAAGCTGAGGCCCTTTCAGAAGGGTGGATAAATTATGTACATTTTTTAGCATTTAACTGAAACTCTTTCATTGGGCGCAGCTGCACTCATGGGCACTTTCTTGATTTCTGTGGTGATTAATTCAGTTCACATCTTTATTTTCAAAAGCCGATTACTTAAAGTCATTACAGATTTATCCTCACTCAATGTCTCTGGATAATTCACACAGCCAGAATTAATAGGCTTGCTGATGTCCTTTGAAATTGACCATCAATATCTGAAAAGAGGCACCATAGATTTTTTTTTGTTGTTATTTTTAATTATAATAAAACAAATATGTTTCAGTGTTTTGAGTTTTTATTCTATTTAAATATACATACACTACCGCTGAAAGACTTTTTGAATGAAATTAATGGATTTATTCAATGTGGATGCATTTAATTGAGCAAAAATTACTTAGAAATGTTACAAATGTTCTACTTCAAATCAATTTTGTTTCTGGGAATCCTGGGGAAAATATGTCAGGAAAAATATTAAGCTAGTTTTCCACATTGAACTTGCAGCACATCAGTAAGTTCGATTTCTGAAGGATATATATATTTATTTACATACAGAAAATATATTATGTTAATAATAAAAAAGAATTTCAATACAAATAAAAAAAGAAAATACAATAAAAATATATTAAAACATATTTGTTTATTATAATTGAAAAAAAGAGTCTATGAGACCCAAAACAGAACAATGAAGGTCAATAATACATTTTATTGAGCTTTATTATCTTTTGTTATATTACCATTGCAGCCGCACTGTAATTCATGGCCTCTAGTGCGTTATTTCATTAATAAACTCAGATTTCAGAGAGTGCCGTTTGATCAGGAGGGACATCAGTGGAAATAAAAGCCATTTGTTCTGACAGAGCATTTCGATTTTGTTAAGGGGGTGTGAGGACACTACATGGACTATGTGCATACACTCATGCCTCATTGTGTGTATGGTTTCATTAAACTTTAACTGCAGAGCCCTTCTGGCTCAAAATCTGTTTAGTTTAGCCCCAAATCCGGCACCCCTCCCCCACAAAACCACCCTGTCTCCCACGTCTCACGGGACCGCTAGATCCCATTTAAACACGGCCAAGTCACACGAACGCATTCGCCCTAGAGAAGTTTGCTTCCTTTGACAGACTACCCTTCACCGACGGCGCGTTTTCATTAAGGCTTGCAATTTGGACACTTTCCAAATCACCTCTATTCTTTCGGGCGAGAAGCACACTAATTATGCCAGCGTCTTAAGGAGAACTGGAAACACAATTACGCATCTTCCTTCTGGTGCCTGTGCGCAGTGGTTTGTAGGTCAGGGGGACGCAGGCCCATTTCATCACAATGAACGCATGAGCTGCATGGCTAATGTTTTAATCGTAATAATTAATACCACTTCACTCTCATGCTGCTGCTAATTATGCATCCACACGTCACAGCGCAGACCTCGTTGATATCTGGAGAGAGGGGATTTGAGCCAGGTTTTCCAAACCCCTAGGAAGTCAGGGTTCATTTGGCAAGCCAAGTCATTTCCAACACTTCACTTGAATGCGAAACGTGCAAAAAGGGCTTTCTTACATTCTAGATTTTTAAGTTGCCTTTTTAGTTGTGCAGTATGTTTCAGCTATGGTGAAAAAGCAGACTGACAAATGGTCTGTTCACACCAAGAGTAACATTTATATTAGCCAGTGTTTACAATATGTGCCGCTGATTGATGATCAAATGTAACTAGTAGTTAATTTCAGGGGTTTTCTGGTATATGCCATAATTAGGCCAATATACTGTATAGGCAAAAGCATATTTCTCCAATCTTTCGGCCATTTAAAAGTTGAAATGTAGAGATTTGTGTAAGCAACTCGATTGACGTTCATTGTATGGACATAACAAAACATTTTCTAAATATCTTCTTTTGTGTTCCACAGAACAAAGAACATCAAACGAAAGACATTAGTGAAATATTAGGACATTATTTGCAAACATTTTCAGGACTCTTAATAATTCAATCATGTCTTTCTTTGTTCTGTGGAACACAACAGAAGATATTTTGAAAAATGTGACTCTGGAAAACAAAACCAGTCTCAAGTCGCTGGGTTATATTTGTAGCAATAGCCAAAAATACATTGTATGGGTCAAAATTATCGATTTTTCTTTTATGCCAAAAATCATTAGGATATTAAGTAAAGATCATGTTCCATGAAGATATTTTGTAAATGTCCTACCGTAAATATATCAAAACTTAATTTTTGATTAGTAATATGCATTGCTAAGAACTTAATTTGGACAACTTCAAAGGCGATTTTCTCAATATTTTGATTTTTTTTTGCACCCTCAGATTCCAGATTTTCAAATAGTTGTATCTCGGCCAAACATTGTCCGATCCTAATAAACCATACATCAATGGAAAGCTTATTTATTCAACTTTCAGATGATGTAGAAATCTCAATTTCGAAAAATTGACACTTAAGGTTTTGTGGTCCAGGGTCACAAATGTCTTGGGTTTTTGAACCATAAAATGTAAGCTAATAAAGTCCAATGTTGTTTGAATTCCACTGTTCTAGAACAAAGAGAACAAAGAAAATCAAACAGGTTTGTAATGACGTGATTGAATTTTTAGGGCATTATTTGCAAACATTTTCATGTTTTTTTTCTTTTTCTTTGGAGGACTCTTAATAATTCACTTGTGTTGTTCCAAACAGCTTTGGTTTACTTTGTTCTGTGAAGCACAAAAGAAGATATTTTGAAAAATGTCTTTGTTTACTTGTCCATACAATGGAGTCCATGTTGTTTGAACATCAGCGTTGTTCAAAAATTCTTTTGTGTTTCATAGAAGAAAATGAGGATGAGTAAATGATGACAGAAAGCTATTTTTTGGGTAAACGATCCCTTTAAATGTGTGAAATTAATTTGTGGTTTTCCTGTTGTAAGGAGTTAGTGGCTGGCTCAGAAATTGGCTGTGTGACCAATCGATTGCCGTTGAGATGTATGGGAACGTTAGACATTTTCAGACCATATTGGTTCTCCAGACCTTTCCCTGTTCACAGATCCATGATGTCTCCTCATTTTCCTGAGGAAACACATCACTTCCCAACTGACAGGAACAATTCAGTGCAGACGGGGGCGTAGGTCGGGTCGAGGGGGAGGTTTTTCAGCAGCAAGGTTGCTTAGGAGTTGAACGGAAATATCCGTTAGTGGGTGGAGGTCCTTGGAGATAATAAGAGAGCAGCTCCACCCCTTCAGATCAGTGCTGAGAGATAGTAGCCTAGCTGAAATCCGCACAAACACTCCAAACGCAGATGTTCTTCAAAAGACCTCTGATAACATGGAGATATCCCACTTCATTCAGA